GAAAAATAAAAGTGGAACTTATAAATTTTGGCACTGTCACAATCTTGATCATTGCTCAAATTAATAGGACAGAATTGTCGCAATCATAATAGCAGGCTCGATTGTACTTTACGGTGTGCTAGAAAAACATGCTCCTAATTAGGGCTCGTTCGGCTACTCACAAAACCAGCCGGATTTCACTGTGCGCGGATGAAAAACGCTATTCATTCTCTCACAAATTTCTCCAGATTTCTCTAAATTCCTCCCAACGAACAGGACATTAGTATAGTTGATAATTTACTGTAAAAATGTGCGCCTTCTAATTAGAGTAGAATTGACTTTACCATTGCCATCCCCATGGGGCATGTGCATTATTGGCCCCTTGCCACAAACGATTGCCACCTGTTGTGGAGGAATCTCTCCACTTATATACTCCCACTCCCTCCATTCTATGGAAGAATGTAGTTATAGGATATATGCCGGTCAAACTAGCTCAAGCTTAGTCAAATTTATAGTAACTCTAGTATTAACTTTTATGTCTCTACTAGGTAGCCTGTCCGTGCGTTGCTACGGAATAGCTAACATTTTGTACTAAAAACACACAGATCGCATAATAAAATAATAATACTGTAAAAATTAAATACCAACGTTAAAGTGACATTTAATTCAAAAAAAACAAAGTTTGTGAAATTAATACAGTCACGGAGAGCGCAGCATCGCAGGCTCACAAACTCTGCTGTATAGACCTTTCCGTGATACGGGTAAGATAATGTTTTATATCGGCAGGAAGAAATCCCCAATATCCATTTCTTTCGTGCGCCAATAAATCCACGAATAAGTTCCGTCACATCTCCATAACATCCTGCACACGGTTCGAGTATATATGTAAAAATTAGTGCATGTCACATGGGTAAACTATGCTCTTGGAGCTTGGTACATTTAATAAGGGTATAACAGAAGAGAGCATTATGGCAAGAGCACACATGAATCACTTCATCAAAATTTAAGTTAAATTTCTTTTTGCCGTTCTCTTTTCCTTGAGCCGGTTTTCGCACGGAAAAAAAAGGAACTACAGTTGCAAATGCAAACAATGTGTTAGAGAACAATCCTAGGCAATAAAAATAAATTTATTCACTCAATATATTCCAACAAATTATTCACCCAATATATTTCAAGCAAGAAAAAAAACAGCTCAAGATGCATAATAAATTATTAACAAATTATTGACCATAATAAATTATTATTTTATTAAATTCCATTCGCTCTCTGACGGAACTTCATTATTAGTAAATTAAGTTGTAGGCTGAAGATGCATGGCCCACGTGTCATAGGCTTCTCCATAATTAACAATTTTATAAACATGTGCCTTGCGTATTGCTTCATATATTATTATTTTTATATTTTTGATAAAAATAATCATCAAACATGGAAAAATGCCAAAATGTCAACATTAGTACTCGCAATTAAAATGGACAACAATAAACTATGTTGTTTAGAGGAACACATTCTACTGTATATATCATTATATGTTCCAACCATATATTCTTGAAAAATAAAAGTACCAACACATCACTAGGAACACAATAGATAAGATTTACTTTACCGGATAAAAATACCACTCCACCACGACCTCCATACCCTATAAGATAAGATTGATGAAAAAAAAATCTGCTGGGAGAGGGAAGGAGATAATACCTCTTCACGACATCAGAGGGAGACGATAGTTTTGGGCGTCACCTTCCCCTATCTCTGGGGTTCCTTGAATATAAAAGAGATACTACAGGGTGGAGATCGCTACAGCGAGGACAGCATCAATGCAAGTCTGGAAGACCAGGAGTTTTTGTGGCAATGGCTACAAGCCCCTTCAGATCTGATTGCCAGACTGCCATATGGACTGCTGAGAGGAAAATAGCTGCGCGCAAGGGAGAGATCGAGAGCATGGAGGGATACCTATCATCATTGTAAACTTAACTGAATCGCTTATTAAAAGAACGATTAGATACCAAATATTCAGGACAATGAAGATTTATAGAATAAAGACAAATCTTTAATAAAGCTTGCTTATCTATTCCTCTCCTATCTATTCATTTCCCAAGCAGCAGAAGCAATCAAATCACTACAATCTTTTTCACCAACAACAAACGGATGCCTTGTTCTGCATCTAGAAAATAGAAAGTAAGGCCAGTCTCAATGGGAGTTTCACTGGTGTTTCATTTGTATTTAATAGCCTATCACATATGCATTTTTGATGACATAGCAACATTTTAATGAAGAGAGAGAAGAATTGGGTTTCATGGGCATGAAACTCTCTTGGCACAGTTACCAACTCTCTATGAGCCTAGAATTAAATATTTATGAAACTATAGAATGAAACTTTCCATTGAGAGTGGGTGTTTCATACAAGTTTCATTTCATTCTACATGACATGGCAGTCTTGGAAACAACGAAATAAAACTCTCCACTGAGACTGGCCTAAGTCACAGCAAAACTACACAGTTTTGGGGGGACAAGCAATCAAATTCTGCATTTACCTTCATATGATCACCAACCAACGAATATCTTTTTGGCTTTCTATAGATTGCTAAAACAGAACGATGTTGACAAACTGTAGTGTTAGAATTTTCGGGTTTCGACAACTCACCTCACATTGGCATTGCACAACATCTCCATGTAAGGAACGGTGTTCAGGAATAAGACCAGAAAGCTCTAATGCGGAGTCATTCATCTTGGTGAAGATAATGGTTCAGCCTCCACCGAAGCAAAGAAAAAAAATTGTGAAGTCAATGAAAATTAACAGCATATTTAAGGAAGCGAAGACCATTTGTGGTTAGTACATACTGGCTATAGCATCTGGGATAACTTGAACCCTTGTTGCCTTGTCACAAGGGATTACGTAGGGGTTGCTTGCTGTTGCGGTGGTGCGCTCCTCTATGAGGAGGCGAGAAGCAGCTTCAACATGTGCCTCGGGCACAACCTCAACACACACTGCCTAGCTCCTAGCTCGGATCTGCTAAGCCTTTTCTTTACTCGGTAGAAATGCAATTAGCATGAACTTACCTGCAAACCCCAAAAAGCACATGAAAATTGAGTCATGGATAATTACCAAATTCCGGTAATGGTTTGGCATCCAAAGAAATAAATGATTCTTCAGAAAACATACACACCTGCAGTTGCAAATGTATATTAGCATAAATACATAATATTCCATTCAAGATGATACACCTTTCTTGAACAGAGATGTCGTTTCACTCATAAACTGGTGCATTTTCAGCAGCATGGCCCTTGTCCAGCTTGACCTCGAAACCAATTACTGTCTCAGTCTGTACAGCTACTCTTTTCCATTCACTGCATCATCGTTTGTGAGGTCCATATCTTCCACTTACCCCTCTTCAAGATCATGTACCTAGCAGATGGATTCTGATCCAATTACTACCCAAAACACCAGCTTCCCCTTCTGCTTGAAGTTCAGAAGCCAGAGGCTCCACCACATTCGCATCAGACTCGCAAGGTGCCTCAAGGTTGATGAGTTCGTCTAATGACATTTTTTCGTGGGGCAATTAGCATTCACATTCCTGAACAATATATACTTGTAATGAGAAATTAATTGTGTCAATCCAAATCAAAATAGCTTACGTTAGGGTCTGGGTCTAAAACCATAGATAGCTTAATGGGTGCTCAGATTCGTATAGCGGTATGGGAAGAGAAGAGACTCAGTTTCGTACAGCAGGAAGGGAAGAGAAGAGATGGCATACATTGTGGGTGCTCACCGCTAGGGAAGGGGCGGATGAGGACTTGATGCATGTGGGGAGTCGCCGGCGAGGGCGCACTGCCTCGAGGGTGAGGGCGAGGGCAGGGCGAAGACTGCGGGGGAGAGGGATCGACGGCGACTCGAGGTGGAGGGAGGGTGTCTCCCATGCCGCCGCCGGCCTGGTTGGAGGCCGCGAGCGTGGACAGTAGGGGTCGGGGGAGTCCGGCGGCAGCTAGGCTAGGCTCGGGGTCGCGCCGTTGGCGTGGCGGCCCATGGCTGGCAGAGGAGTTGGGAATCGCCCTGTTCACCTCTCGTCAACCCCACGAACGCGGATGGGTCGCGAGGGAAAGAGCGGAGTCGTGGTCACCGTCGCGAGGCGCGGATGTCGCGCGGATGGGTTTCCATCCACGACCCGATGATCCAGGCACGACGGGGACGGACGTGCGATCGGGGCTTTCCTTGTTGCGGGATGCGGGAGATTGCCGGTGATTGCGCAGCTTAGTCCCGGGATCGCAAGGGAGGGAAGGGCGACCCCAAAAAAATATCGCACCAAAAAATTATCTTACTTTTGTTCTTTTTAGTTGTAGGAGAAATAAATTTATTATAAAAATATATTCTATAACTAGTCTAATGGTATTCGTCTTATATCATGAATGTCAGTATTTTTTTATATAAATTTAGTCAAAGTTAATGGTTTGACTCATCGAAAAACGAGAATTGCATTCTTTTATCATAGAGGGAGTATAAATAAACATAATATATATGCAATATAGCATGCATACAACACGTTGTTTCCTGTCCTTCGCATTCAGTCACCTTCGTTTACACACATTTTTCAACAAAACTACAGCATGTTCTTTTCAGGAAAGAGGGAAAACAACAACCCCCACTATTGTAACCTTTGCTTGTCACCTCTGCAGTCTCCATCTATCTATCTTAATTTAGTGGCAAATGCAGCTACACCAATTTTTTCCAAGTGTAAAAAAAATGTATATGAACGCGTGGACAATGCTTGCTGGACCATCGTATCAGGGGTTCAAAGGCATTCATAATCTTGATTTTTTTCTCTCTCGAACACTGTACTGTCACAGTTAGATCAAATAATTTCAGTATTAACACATAGAGGTTACCCGGACCAATCATGAGTTGCCGGTGTCCCTTGTCGATCACCCTATAAATAGCCTCGCCCTTGCATACATTTGCGGCAGAAGCGAGCAAGGCAGACGTACACACCTGAACTGAAATAGTAGTGCGAGGAGTCTCTGCAAGCGAGATGGTCGAGTTTTTCCACGCCGGCAGGACCAACACCGACGACTGCTACGACGCCGGCAAGCACGTGCACGGCAGCAGGAGGGTGTATGGACACGACGACGCGAGCCGCAGTAGGCCGGCGTACGGCGACGACTGCTACAACGGCGGCGGTGAGGTGGGTCGCCGGCGCCTCGTCCGCACTGGTAAATACGTACTAATGTGTATATTTCCCTATTATATATATTGCTCATTATTGGTTGATGATAACGTCATAACGAACCAAATGAATGTAGTTGACATGCATGCAAGCCGTAACAATTAATTAATCTGGTGGTATCTCTTAATTAATTACTCTCTGGTGCATGCATGCAGAAGGCGGAACAGAAGGAGGCGGCCAAGGAGCGCAGCACGACCACTTCTGCCACCACCACTAGAGAATGAACGACTCGATCATGCATGCATGGCCTATTTATCTCATGCATCCATCTCCCAATACTATACGTACGTGCGTGTCAGCGTGTAATATATAAGTAAATAAGAGCAGATGTGTGGCGTGTGCTGCTCAGTACGTACTGCTGCTAGCACCGAATTTTTTTTAATTTGGCCCTTTTTTTTTTTTAAAGTTTCTCACAAATAGACCCCTGACGGAAAGAATTCAGAAAATAGACCCTTAGCTCGGCGCCAGAGATGGGCACGGGTTTTTGACCTGCCGAGGGCTCGGCACCAGAGTGACTGGCGCCGAGCTCGGCGTCGTAGATCTTGGCGCCGAGCTCAGAAATATCTAACGGGTCCGCGCCTTTCCTCTCTTCTTTTCCCTCTCTCGCCGAGCACTGCCACCGACGCCGCCGCCGCCCTTGCCCGCGCCCCCGCCGCTCCACGGCGCCCGCGCCGTGCCGAGCCCGAGCCGCCGCGCCTGCTCCCGCGCCCGTGCCCGCCACGGTGCCCACGCGCGCGCCCCGAGGCCGCCCCCGCCCCTCGCCGCGCCGTCCTCGCCTTGCCCTCCACCGTCGGCCTCAGCCGCGGCCCGACTTGCCGCCCTCCACCACCAGCCTCGTCCCGCCTTGCCGCCGTCCACCGCCGGCGTGCCTCCCGCGCCCGTAGAGCCGGACTCGCCTCGCGTAGCCCCGGGCATCCCACGTCCGCCACGCGCCACCGCTGTCGTCGGCCACACCACCGACGGCCTAGATCTTCGGCCTGACCCACGCCTATCGTCCGCCGGCCTGGAAAGGTAAAAATTATGAATATGCAATGTACCTACTTAGTTGCCATTTGTTATTTATTAGTTAATGTGATGACTCAGATTGTTGATTTAGTTAGTGATCTAGCAAGATATATATGTAGATAGATAGAAACATAGACACATAGATATAGTTAGATAGCTACTTAGATATGTAGTTACAATTTTAGTTATCTACATATGATCTAGCTATTTAGTGAGTACAATGTAAATATATACATAGTTATTATCTTGATTACTTAGTTTGTAGTTAGAAAGTACTTGTTAGGTACTATCTATCGTCTAATTTGGACTAAAGGGCATGTGTTTCGTTACGTGTTTAAATTAGATGGACAATCTAGTGACCATATATCATGGAGGCACCGTTGAAAGCGATCGCTATGGATATGTTGAGTTTCTTGACATGCAAAGCGTGTCTGTGCTATTCAATGATAGTCCTTCATTTAGTGACATGGTTGCAAGGGCTCGGGAGGAGCTGCACTGCCTTGGAGATGATGGCATTACAGTTGATGGTGTACTGCACCTAGGTTGTCCTTCGAACAGCTTCAGGCGAATGATCTCAGTTGGTTGTGCGGATCAGTGGGAGAACTATGTAAGATCGGCTATGAAGAGCCAACTGCAATGTTTGGACGTGGTTGTGCGTCGGGTGTTAGTTGATCCCATCCCTCATGGGTTTACCCCAGCAATGGATCATCAGTCATACATCGACCCTCCCGTTCCGGAACCTTACCTGCATGTGCAGATTGCACCTACGGTTCCTGATGCTCAATTTGCCCCCAATGCGGTATTTGGAGATGGTTGTCAGACTCATTTTTCTGTGGCAGATCCTCCTTATGAGATCCCTTTGACACAGAATCATCCGAGTAAGTGTCTTAACCGCATGGTTTTTGGGAGCTTACCCTATTCCTTACATCTATTTCTTTCATTCTTTCCTCATTTCTGTAATGATGTTGTAGGAGACATTCCTGAGAATGTGGATGTGCCCCCTGTTGCTGCGCAAGTGCACTTTGGAGATGGATTTCGTGGGTCAAATAGTGTTGAAATTATGCATGATTCAGAGCCATATGAGATGGCTAGGGCTCTTGATTATGATGATGATCGCCCTGTTGGAGAGCTGACGGAGAGTGATGTTGAGATGATGAGGCGTATCTTTTCCGGCCGCCGTGATCCTAGAGTTCACGAGTTCAGCGATCTTGCTCATTCCGATCAGGCGTTTGCAGAAGGACGTGATGATGAGCTCCTAGAAGCTCCTGAGGCCGGTCCTAACATGGTAATTGAGAATGGGAGGGTTTTCAATGACCTCCCTGCTCTGAAGAGGTGGTTGTAGGCTTTTGTAGTGATACGAAAGAGGCCTTACAGGGTATTGCATTCATATGCGGAGCGTCGTTACACCGTTGTGTGTGACAAGGAACGCTGCCCATGGAGGGTTTGTGCAAGGAAGCAACATGTAACCAAAAAATGAAAGATCACAAAAGTTGTCGGGCCACACAATTGTGCTGACCATGAGCTGACACTGAGGCATCGGTAGTTGACATCTACCCTCATTGCCAAGCAGTTGATGGGAATTTTGCAGGGAGAACCCAACATGAAGGTGAGGACAATTATCAGGACCGTTGAAGCGTTGTATGGAGGATATGTGATAACTTATGGTAAAGCATGGAGGGCTAAGCAGCGAGCGTGGAAGATGATATATGGAGACTGGGAGGATGGGTATGAGCAGCTGCCAGTTCTTTTCAATGCAATCAAAGCGGTGAATCCAGGCATACATTATGAGTACATCCCAAAACCTAATGCATGGAAGGATGGGAGGCAGATATTCTTCCGTGCCTTCTGGTGCTTCCCTCAGTGTGTCGAGGCCTTTAGGCACTGTCGTCCCGTCTTCTCCATTGATGGTACGTTCTTGATTGGCAAATACTAGGGCACACTTCTTATAGCCATATCCTATGACGCGAACAACAAGTTGGTTCCTTTGGCATTTGCCTTGGTTGAGAAGGAGAACAATGACAGCTGGAGATGGTTCTTGAGGCTAGTCCGGATACACATGGTTGGGCCTGGCAGGGAGGTTGGCGTCATATCTGATAGGCATCAGGGCATACTTAATGTCGTGTGAGAGCAGATAGAGGGGTATGCACCGTTGCACCATCGTTGGTGTACTCGGCACCTTGCCGAGAATCTACTCTAGAAGGATGGTGTTAAGGGTAACTTTGATTTGTTCTAGGAGGCTGCTCGATAGCTTGAGGACAAGTACTTTAAGGAAAAGTTGAAGCAGGTCAAAACCGCATCAAATGCAGAAGGTAGACAATGGCTCACATGTTTGATGAGGGATTTGGAGAAATGGACGAGAGCTCACGACGCTGGTGGCTGGAGGTACGAGTTTCAGTGCAGCAACATGACAGAGTCATTCAATAAGTTGCTATTGGGGATACGTGGTATGCCCGTGAATGCAATCGTTCAATTCACCTTCTATAAGCTTGTTGCCTGGTTCAACGATAGACACGCCCATGCATTGCAGTTGCGGAGTGATGGAGAGATATGGGCTCCGAAACCAAAGGCACACCTAGAGAAGGCAAGAGAAAGGGCTGGCACACATGAGGTTGCATGCTTTGCCCACGCCACAGGGACTTATTAGGTCGAGCATAGGGGCGGTACAACGTCCGATGGCGAGGTCCGAGAGTCGAGGATACAAGTGGTTGTCCTCCAAGATTTCAAGTGTACTTGTGGTAAACCAAGGTAGTACCACTTTGTATGTTCTTATTTGGTGGCAGCAGCTAGGCATCGCAACTATAATATCAAGAGGAGGATACCACACGAGTTTAGTGTCGACACGCTTATGAACACATGGAGCCACCGCTTGAAGAGCTCACATGGATGTCTCCCTCTACATCAATCATCGAAAAGGAGGTACCTAGGATCAAACTTGTCTGCACCGTCGATCTACTGAAAGAAAAAGCACCTCTCATGGTCCTACACAACGAGATTCCAACAAAATATTAGTAGCATACTTACACAAATAACGAAAAAAATAGTGCAAACAATTACTAACATTAAAACGACTGCATGTGTAGAAGCAACGAGCCGCTGTATCCGGATGTCTGGATTGAAACACGTCGGCCGGACGACCACAGTCACAGTTAGGGATAGGGAGGTCAGGAGGGATGGGGGCATCTTTGCTAGATGCGTCAGGGTATAATTCTTGAGGACGACCCCATTTTCGCCAAAACTCCTCCCGAAATATTTCTTGCATCTAATAAAACGGATGTAATTTAACAAACATAAATAAAAAAACATCACAAATAAATATCAATGAGAACCATAACTACAACACAACCAATTTCGTTCTAAGAACCGAAAGCGGTTAACATTAAACCATAAACCTAGGATTTCCCATTTGATCCACAACAATGAACCATAAGCACTATAACGTTTGCAAGCACTATCGGAGACGGCTTCTTTGCCGAGTGTCCCAGACTTTGCCGAGTGTTTTTTATCGGGCACTCAGCAAACCAGAGCACTCGGCAAAGGGCCGCCGCCGTTAACGGCCGGCAGCCCCGTTAACCCTTTGTCTAGTGTCTTCTCCTGACACTCGGCAAAGCGGTGGTTTGCCGAGTGTTATTTTTTGACACTCGGCAAACCATATTTTTTCCACTTTTGACCTCCAAACTTTTTCTGCCATCCTCATACAATATCTGGAACTTCATGTTCCAATGTGGCACATTTTTCAGACTTTTTCTATATTTCTTTAATTTATTTTATTTAATTGAATTTTCTTGGATAATTCAAATTATAACTGCTAGTCATTCGAATAATGAAAAAAATGAATGGAAAAATGATATTCATGTTATTTAGTATAATGTGAGGCCGTATCCAGGAACAGACCACCAATTTCGAACATCTTGTTCACGAAACATGACCACGAACTTGCGGTCGAGTTGTTTTTAAATTCTATAAAAAGCAAACGAAGTCCAAAAATCATGAAACTTGTCAAGATGTCATGATATCATATGTGGAGGCTATGATAAAAATTTGAGAAGGTTTCGTGCAAGTTTGTCACGTACGATGGTTATCACCTCGTCGGCCTCTTCATGAAATCATAAAACTTCTTCGGAGATTCTTCGGTTTGCAAGCATCGTACGTGACAACTTGCGCGAAACCTTCTCAAATTTTTATCACAACCTCCACATATGATATCATGACATCTTGATAA